CTCAAAGGATTTGCTAGAGATGAGTTCTGCCAAGATCTTGAAGATGATATTTCATTGTTATTTTACAATCTAGTTTGATGTATTGTAAAACTACAGCTAGTTATGATGATTTTGTAGGGAGTAACTGTAAGCATGTTAATGTTAAAGGAAAAATGTGTTACTGGGATACAGCAACGCTTGTGGTCACCTCATTAACAGTCTTTATGCTAAGCTAACCATATCCTTTTGTAACTTCATCTTACATGAACCATGACCAGTGAAGAGTTGCACACAAAAAAACAGTAGTTTTAAAAAATTACATGACCAAACAAAAACCTTGAAATTCGATATAAAATATACAGGATTATATAATTTGCTGGTGATAGTGAGTGTAGCATGTCACTGTCAGCAGGCTGGTGTCCTTTTGTGTTCTTCCGTCTGCAGAAAAAAACACTAAAGCTCTCATTTCCTCTCCAACGGTCTCTGCAAAGCTGGTCATTTCTCTGGGAAATTTAGTACTCTGTGTGCCTGTGTGAGCTCATGCACTGCTCGCCCTGAGACTTACTGTAACAGAGGGTTGACGTTCCCGGAAGAGATTACCATCACTGCTCTAAATGTTTCCCAGAGTGATTTGGGACCACGAAGCCAGGATAATTTGACAATTGTATCCGCACACACTTGCACACGCACTCATGCCAGTGCATAGTTGTTAAGGGAAAAAATTTGAATCTTTTCCAACCCAATCCCAGATGGTACCACAGCAATAAGGTACTCGCGTACACAAAATTAACCGCTCTTCTTTGCTCCTTATGTCTGCCAGCTCTTCATCAGAAGCCCAGAGCACGTCTGAGTATTCAGTCCAGGCGGAGTGACTTTGCTGGTCCTGGATCAGATGTGGATGGTGATGACAACGATGATAATGATGGTGATGATGATCTTGAAGATGATGTGAATGCAGATTTGGGATCTGACCTAAGTCTTGATGAGCTTTGACCTTTATGTGTTGTGAGTTTTTTGGAAAAGGTGAAGGCTGAGGAAGCATTCAGCAAGAAAAAGACAGCTGACAGCGTTGTTGCTTTGTCATTGCCGAGCGTGATGAGAAATTAGATGAGGTGCATAAAATGTGAGATAAAACTTGATAAATTCAAAAATGAGTATTGAATGTACATAAAGGAAAGCGAGTAATTAGATCATTTTACCTATTGCCGTTACAGAGCTGCTTGGATATGATGATTTTTTTCTGGGGGGG